CATAAGTCCTGTACAGCATCGTTTGATATTACATCATAGCTCTCTATATATAAGTCTTTATTTTATTTATTTTAGTAAGGGCCACGCTATAGAAGTGAGAATGAGATGTACACCAGGGTGGCGTTGAAAATTACAAATGCACCGAAAATTACAACACCGATTTGTATTAACTCACATGCGCCGGAGTCATACGGGCATAACACTACTATTCGAGAAATATCTATCAATGACCGAATGAGGCAGTTATGATTATTGCTGCAACACCTATGGTAAGAAATAATTCCAGATTAAGACCTATAAACCAAGAAAACGATGTAGTATTACGAGATATCGACTGCGAATGCTTACCATCTTTCTGGTATTTTCTTAAACATTTTTTGATATTGTAAAGAATGTTGAAACTTCGTGACATAAAAATAAAGTGATATAGGCAATTAATTACCCACAACATCATATTTTTTGTATAAATAATTAAAACAAAAGACAAGAGTCCACCAAAACACCATTTTCATTTAGAAATCGAAAATAAATATTATTATTTTTTTAACATATAGAGCAGAAACCATCATGATTCAAGAATATCGGTATCGCACCTTACTCTTATTATTACGGTAAGTTACAGTAGGTGTTGCTTCAGATACACAATTTTTCTGATACATTCCTTTTTTTATTTCGGACCGTTTTCTGATTCCACTAGTCTTCTTCTTATTGCACCGTCCCCTTTCGAAGGTTGGCGATCCAATGGAAAACTGCTCCACAAAAGATTTCTGCTGATGAGCGGTCAAACCACCTCCTCAGGTCTTTCAGTAAAGAGTTCTGGCGTCTTCCTACTGGTCTTTTGCCCTGTACTTTACCTTCCAATATTCGAGTAAATCATGATTCGAGCTTTCCGTTGCTAGATAAGGTTATGCCTATATATTTAAACTCCATCTGTTCCACTTGTTCCATTCTGTTCCATCTTGTTCTGACTTTCCAGCTTAAGTTTACATCAGTAAATTTATTGGTATAACCATACATTTTGTTTTTGTTTTGAAACTAATATGTTAAATTTTCTGGTGGTTATAATAAATTGGTGTTCTTCTACTTTTACTTTTGTTGTTTTTTTTTAGATATTTTCGATCGTTTTAATTATTCCTAGAGGTATCTCTCTTGCATACAATTAGTGGATAACGTCCTTTAATTTGATCCTATCAAATGCCTTCTTAAGGTCACGAAACATAGGTACGCTCGTTTGTTGTATACTAATGATTTCTCTTGCACTTACGTCATTATAAATATAGCATCGGTGCATGATCTTCCCGACCTAAAACCTTGTTGTTCGTCTGCTAGTGCTATAAGTTCATTCAGTTTATTTGTTATCACTTTGGGCGTTAATTTTACTGTTGTATTTAATACATTAATTCCTCTGTAATTTTCCAGGTTTGATATGACTCCCTTTTTGGAGAGGAGTATTAGGATGCTTGATCTTCATTCTTGCACAATTCTGTTTTATTCTATTATTTTTTGGATTAATTTTAATAGTTGTTTGGTCAGATCTGGTGCTCCGTACTTTAGGAGTTCGTTCGGTATTCTGTCCTCTCCTGGCGATTTTCTATTTTTTAATTTCCTTAATGCTTCCTTTACGTCTTCCTCCTTAATATTTATATCTTCGTTTGTCGTCACCTCTAGTGTTGGTCATCGTTGATCATCACCTTTAGTATATCTCTTTTTCTGTTCCGTAGAAGTCGTGTTCCATCTGTTTTGAGAAGCTTAGCTAGTGTTCCCTTTTTATTTATCTTCTTCTTCTCTTCTTTGTCAACCATTTTCCATCCACTCCTGAATGTAGGTCTCTCCCAATTGCTTCCATCTTTCTCTATCTTGCGCCAATCTAATCCACTGTTTGCCTGCCACTGCTCTTATGTCATCTACCCATCTTTTTTGAGGTCTTCCCATGCTTCTTGTTGTCGTCCTTGGTCTCCATTCTAGAATTCTCCGTGTCCACCTGTTGTCATTATATCGGGCTACGTGACCTGCCCAGCGCCATTTCATTTTTGTAATTTCTTCCACAATATCCCTAATCTTCGTTCTACGTCGTATCTCGGTGTTTCTAATCTTGTCTCTTAGTGATATTCCAAGCATGATTCGTTCCATTGCTCTTTGCGTTGTTTCTAATTTTTTGGCAGATTTTTTGGTAAGTGCTACTGTCTCCAAGCCGTAGGTACAAACAGGTAGTATGCATGTGTTATACACTTTTTTCTTTAAGTTTATAGGAATGGAGGTGTTTTTCAAGATATGTGCTAGTTTGCCGAAAGCGCCCCAAGCCAGTTGTGTTCTTCTTTTAATTTCAGCATCTTGATTTGGTTTTCCTAGTTTGATAACATGACCTAGATATACATAATGTTCCACACTGTTTATTTATCTAACTTAAGTATTCGTTTCATTTTAGATTCGTTTATAGTGGTTGTATACCTATTTGTGTTTGTTGGGTTCTGTATAATGAAGACTTGTTATTAAGATTTGTATAATAAAGAGAATATTTGCAAAACGTGCCTTCCATGTAAATTTCGTATCAAAGATAACATAGAGATACTTAGCATATTTCGAGAATAATAGTGTTATTCCATTTATGGTCGTGGGGTGAACTGTTAAATTTTTCTATTAGTGTATAAAACAAGTGTGTTTTTATTAGTACTTACTGAAAGTCTTTTTTTTTGTAACGATAAGACTACCAAAGAAAATTGAAGTACCATTATAAAAATAATACCTCAATCAACCATGGGAGCTTATCGTCTATGCCTTGCCTAGCTCAGTATCTTAGCGATTGAACCTGAGCTCTCAGTTGATAGCAAATAAAACAAATTTTAACTAATCATATTTATTAAAAAGAATAAAAAACAATAATCAACCCTGCCAAAGCTTAACAATAATTATTGAGGATGATACTTATGGTCTCGATGAACTGCTTGTGTTTCCTCCCAATTAGACGTTATGTCCTCAGGAGAGCTGTGGTAGTAACAATTGGATGTAGCCTCGTGATCAAGTGGTTAATAAATTTTCATATGGTCAATAAAACTGCCAATATGTCTTGAAGGATATGGTGAATAAAATATGCCAATAAATTCTTCAATATGGTCAATAAATTCTTCAAAATGGGACACATCAAAAAGGGTTTAATTTCCTTGCCATTTTACAAAATTACAATTAACCAAATAGCGTATGGCAAGGATTAAATGAAATATAATTATTATTACTTAGTTAAATTGTGTTAACAAGTCCTACATGCATATAATCGAGAAACAATCATAATCCAGAAGCGTGGTTTCACAAGAAGTAAGGTTATGAATATTAAGAATGCTGTAAGAATTATAGACAATTTTGTAGACCATAAAATGAATCTTATAATAATTTTTGCCTTCTTTTATAAATTTCAAAAACAGGCAAAAAATTATATTCCCACTACTTTAGAAAAGTTGTTTGACAAAAATGAAGTTAGCACAGATGTCATAGGATGTTGTTAAATCGTGAAATTAGCTTGTCTGTCAACACAGAACAGAATATTTAGTCTGTCAGACAGAAAGAGAGAGGGCGAATATTTATTCTACGGGGCAGAAAGACAGAGAAAAGAAAGATAGAGGAAGAAAAAAAAACAGAGGGGAACTACAACTACTTTTTAAATAAAAAAATAGTAAAAACTAAACTGGAGATGAAGAAATTAGTAAATTAATAAAGAAATTAAAATAAAATAATTATTTAAATATAAATTAATAAGGATGTGACGTTTATAACGTTACAAAATACCAGTAAGTTACTACGTCTAAAGCATCTTGCATGGTACCTGCAATAATACTACCATGTTAAATACTGTCAGGACATCTATTCCATTATCCATATATCCATTGTTCGAATACTAGTGGTTACTGTGTTTAAATAATACCTAAATAAAAGTAAATAATTAATGATTTATGTATAACAAATATTCGACAAAAATGCTAATTGTAAAGTAAAATAAAGCTTTCATTAAGTTAGATAGCAATATATAGCTTTTTGGTATCAAATTATCGTGAGACTATCTATATTGTGTATCTAAAACTTACAGAATCCAAGAAATTTAATAAATAGATAACAAAAGGTTATCAATATGAATATAAAGTAAAAGTTTATTTTGTAGACATTTCTCTAGGAAGTGATACCGTATTTTGCCAATTTCACAAAAAATTCACCCATAAACCTTTAGCCATTAAATTTTTTGCTAGCGAAACAGCCGCCAATAAATCCGACCGATTCGGAATCAAGAGACGTTATCATTTCTTGTATCAGATACAACAGTAATACTAAAATTCCAACCGAGCGAAAATATGATGTTCACAAATCACGGCTTCCCCTTAGGCCGTTATCTTCGCCCGAATCTCCCCCAACAAAGGAAGCATTCTCCGTAATGGATTAATTTCTCCACATCTCTCATGTTATCCGTCTAAGACACTGGAAGCACTCACTCTTAACGACTTCCTAAATTTTTTCAACTGCGCGCCTAATTGACTCTGGATTTATTCCCGTGGAAGAGCAACCCTTTCGCCAGCCTACACGTCAAAGGGGGGAAGGGTTTCGTTGGTAAGATTATTTGGAATCGGGCCAATGCACTACTATCTGTTAAAATTTGGAGTACTTTATACGAGGTAAGTTCAAGAAATACCACATCTGAAAGATATGTGATATGGATACAATCATTTTATATCAAAAAAATATACTATATTTCTCGATTTTATAGATAGTATTATGGAACTTCAATCAATAATCCACATCTTATAATGTCGCCAATTCAATTTATCACAGTTTATATTCAGAGAATTTTGTAACTTAATAATTGGAGATTTGGACATAATAATATGTATGACTAAAAAACAAAATTTGAGAGAGATCATTTTAGTGAAACTTTATGTTTGCCAGGAGCATAGAGCTGTTTCCATTATAAAATAAGTTCATTTATTCTACTTCTGAGAAGAGCTTAGACTCAGATTATTGCAATGGTGAGTCAAATTATAAAGAAACTTTAATAAAGGTGTGCGAATTCATAGACATTGTTAATATAATTGCCATACAATTCATATTTACCAAACATTTTGATATAAAGAAACAAAATGTTTTCCTCAAAATGTTTATTTATAAACATTACAGCGTATTGTTACATAAGTTGTCATGAATTTGGGTTTTACACATAAACATTAATTCATAAATAGTATTAGTTACACCATTTTAACTTAAGAACGAGTGTATCCATTTTAATAATATTTGGTTTTATGGAGTAATCTCAGCTCTGATTAGAACAATAACCAATAAAACTTTGTAAACGTTTACAAGTAAATTAATCTTGATCTTTAGGTATTTTTTTAGAAATAGGTAACACTACAATAACTGTCAAGTCCGTTAAACTACTACCTAAATGATTTGTTTTTTTCTTACCAATTTATTGACTAAGCTTTGTAACAATTGACAATTGACAATTAAAATATATTGACAATTAAACTCGAGTAAATTTGAGCGAAGGCCAGCTTGAGTTGACACGTCGTTACAGTGATTTTTTTTTCATGTTTGTGATCTGTTGGGAAAAATATTTAGGTTACTCGTCAGTTGGTTTGCTTTCAATTATTTGCCAAGACGAAGAATCTCTAATCTAAGGTGATATGGCATTTAACGTGGGGCTATCACCATATGGGACGTAAGGGCTTGAAAAATCACTGCCACTTAAACACTCGCACGGTACCTTACAAAAGGAATTTCGATCAGTCAATTCGAAGAACCCTCTGCGTAAATTTCATTGTCGATGGATTTGTGGTGATTTTTATTGAAGTTATACTTCTACGGCCGTTCACTCACGGTCGGCGTTGGAAATTTGCATGGGAGTGAATCTGTGAAACCATTACATATGTAAGATAATGAGTAAGAAAGAGACAAAAGATATATTTTCTCTCTCTTCCTCTCTCGAGAATAAAATGTTTCTTTTGTATATATATATATATATATATATATATATATATATATATATATATATAATATTATCTATTTAATATAATATGTATAAACATTATTTATGTGATATGTTTTGGATTATGTATTAAACGTTTATAATAATTATTTTAGAATTTTGTATTTCAAAATAATCACAGTTTGACCGAGAACTGTCAATTTTGAAATCCGTTAGTGTCATGTCTAATTGGCAAATCACTTACGTGTTTGGTTCATACGCTGGTGTTTGTGAGTTTGAATCCCAATTATGAATTTCATTTTTTATTTTTGAAATATTTAAAAACCTCACGCTAATCTTATTAAATATATGTAATATACGCAAAAATGCTAAATTTTAAAATAAAATAAAATTTACAACATAATCCGAGTTGTTGGTTTTTTATTTTTCTATTCGTAAAGTAAGTTATGTATATTGGCACCTAGTTTTAAATACTTATAAATATTACATTTTAATTTATATTATATTGAATTATGTTGCAGTGTATTTATTGTATTGTAATTTTTATATTAATAACAAAATAAAAAATGAATTTTACTGCAGAGTATGTATAAAATAATTTTTTTTGCATTCAATTCCTTCTATACCTATATGAAAATAACAATTTATATTTTCATTAAAATATTGATACAATCGTTCATTCACTATACTCCTATTACAGGTCAAAAGTTTATATACAGCAGACGATGCACCATATACCTATATAACTAATTCTTTTTCTCTTTCTGCTCTCTCTTACCTATAGCATTACATATGTAATGATTGTGCGAATTGACTCCCATATAAATTTGTAACGGCGAACGCGGGTATATAAGTATAACTTCTACCGGCACACTCGTTTTTTTTACACAAGTAAAGGAAGTAAAATAAAAAACAATCCAGCCATAGAGTCTTATATCTTAGAGTGGAGCAGAGCTCCGACATCGGACTCCCAGGGTGCAGAGACCCTATTTGGGAGCCGAGACCCGATTGAGACCGAGTGCAGAAAATGTCGCATATTTTAATGTTTATACTTATATGGCATTTTCAGATCTCTCGGCCAATAGTAAAGGTTTTAGGGCGGGACGATGCGCATCAGGGTGTGCATTAGTCCACGACTTATGTACCAGGATGACAATACCAACCGATGAATTTAATATCAAATTCCTACTGTATCCGGCATGACAATAAACAAACCACAAGGCTAATCTTCGAATGTTTGTGGGTTAAATATAAAAAAAAAATTTTCTCTCATGGTCAATTGTACGCAGTATGTTGACGTTTAGGAAAAGCATTATCTTTGTTTATTTTCGCGCCTGGCAACAGAACGAAACTTATAGCATACAGCATACAAGGTCCTTCAATGAAAATAATCGCGTGCAATTCACTCAGCAAATGGCTTTGCTGCCATGTGAATTAGCTCTTTTTTTAAACTTTTATTAAACTTAATTAATTTGTTGTTAATATAAAAAAGTTAATATAATTCAGCTAACAATTTAACAGAATATTTATTCATTCTAAGGCGATACTTAGGCGGATTAGTAATTCTGACCCGGTGGAAGTTTGGCAATGTAAATTACAACGTTTTCTCTCGTAGATGAATCAAATATAATTTTGTTATCATTTCGTTAGAACTGCAGGCGGCTATAAATTATCAAATCACAACAATTGTCAATTACTGTCAGAGTCATTTTATAAACTTATAAAGTCTCCTGGTATTTGTGTAGTTTGAAAATGAGCCGAAGAAAGATTATCTCTAAAAAAATTCATTCAATTATTTTAGATTTTTTTATTCTCGAAAATAAAACTCGGAAATTAAAGATTTACTACAATTATCACGATATAGTATAAGAAAAATAGTTATAGTATATAAAACTACAGTTTCCGTCGCTATAAAGCCTCGCAATGTGGGAACGAGCAAAATATTTCACTTTCACCTTCAAGCTTCGATGAGCATTAAGAAGAATTATTAAAAAACACCTACAAATTATCTTGGAAGTGTTTTGTAGAGTGATGCTGTTGAAACATGTCATAGAGGTACTCATGAGTTGGAATTTAATACATATACAAGATAAGTTATTTGATTAAAAGATGAATAAAAACCGTACTGAGGATTCAAAAGAACATAAGGACTGGACTTATGTTCAGTATAATCAGTAATATAATCACGATACAATGGGACAATACGTTAATATTTGAAGTGTCTGTAGGAGACACTGTGAAGAAGAAAGGTGAAAAAAAGTGAAATTTGCTGCACTGGTGATGATTTGGGGCAGTATTTCATTTAAAGGTGTGGGACATTTTAGATACAAGCAAATATTTGGACATTATAAAAAAGTGCTTCGTAAAAATCTTACCAGAACAACCTCCAAATTTAAGAAATATGAGTTTTGTTTACACCTGAATTTTCCCGAGACTTAGTTAGAACTATGTTTAAAAAATTTTTGGACGTTATAAGGAACAGAGCTTTTGTCACAAAATAATAAATAATAAATAATTTTTTTAAATCGATTTTAAATGTTAAATTTAATTGTTAAAAACGGATTCTTCTACTCGTATATTATATTTTTATACGAATTAAAAAAAAAACATTTAATTAACTCAATCTTATCAATATTTCTATTAATTTAAATCCGATAAGTTTAAAAGAAGACAGTATTGAGAAATAAATTAATTTCCTTTTTTTATTCGCCACATTAACCATTGCCAAATTATATCAAACGTAACCAAATCATATTAAATTACCTTATATATGTATATATATATATATCTATATTATATATATATATATATATATATATATATATATATATATATATATATATATGTGTATACATATATGTATATATATAAAAGAATATAAAGTTAAGACATGCACACGCTGATTCCTCCTTCGTTTCAACGTTAGGGAATTATTTACGTGGTCTTTTGATGTCCGAAGTCAAGCAACAAGGGATGATTACAGAATAAGTGGTCGTTATCGGTTATCCGCAATCTGCATACGTAACAGGCTTAACCGTTTAATATTTAATACTGTGTTCGAATAAAACAATAATAGTTCAACTAATTTGAATGGTTATTCGGATATTTTCATATAATTAAGGGGTGGATAAATGAAATAAAAGGGTTTTTTTGCTTTAAAAGATTTATATTAATGGGAATATACAAATTAACAACACATACGTGCAGTTGTGTCAGTAAATACTGTCAAGATAGCCGCATTGTTCGAATACTAGTTGTTACTGTGTTTAAATAATACCTAAATAAAAGTAAATAATTAATAATTTACATATAACAACTATTGTATCCAAAAATGCTAATTATAAAGTAAAATAAAGCTTTCATTAAGTTAGATAGCAATATAGTTTTTTGGTATAAAATGTTAGTAGAACTATCTATATTGTGTATCTAAAAGTTTCAGAATCCAAGAAATTTAATAAATTGATAACAAAAGCATGCTTGTATCAACACCATACCAATCTCGCAAGTTCTTCAACCATGAGGTTCTTCTTCGTCCTGTACTGCGTTTGTCTGCTATTTTTCCTTGCATGATATTTCGTAGCAACCTATATTTGGGACCTCTCATTAGATGTATAAAATACTCCAGCTTTCTCTGCTTGATGCTTTTGATAATCTCAGTAGTCGTGCTGAGACGTTCTAGTATTGTGGAGTTTCGAATCTTCTCCACCCAGGAAACTTTTAAAATTCTTCTATAGCACCACATTTTGAATATATTCACCGTGCAGGACTCGACACCATAAAGTAAGACCGAGAACACGTAGCAGCGAAGTAGGCAGATCCTCAATGCCAATTTTAGGTCTATGTTACATAACACCTTGGACATCCTTCTAAAAGCAGCTCTAGCCTACTCTATCCTAGATCCAATTTCGCCGTAACTTTCTGCGTTACAATTTAATTGCTGTCTAAGGTAAACGATTTTATCAACTTGCTCAAGTTTGGTATTATTTACATATATAGGCGGTTTTATATGCTAACAAAAGTTTATTAATATGAATATAAAGTAAA